ATGATGTGTTATTTTGAGATCAGTGATGTGTTTATCTCATTTGATCTTCAATGTCATTGTTGGGAGTAAGTACATAAGCTTCGGACGCATTAATTAATGGATTTCTACTGCTTACGAGTATTTTCTTAGCGTGAGGAAGGTTTATGAAATTCAGCTGTTCCGACAGGAGTTGAGAATATTAACTGCTCAGCAACATTATGGATATAAGTTCATCACATTATCTAGGGAAAGGTGGGTTGCAGTTGGTGAGGGATATATGGTGCCCAACGAGCGTTCATCTGTCCATGTGATGTTGTGGTGAGTTATACCTTTTTCATGTTGTCGGTTTATGTCCATTTTATTCCACTTATTGTGTTGGGTAGTAGTTTTACAAACGAGATTTCTTGTCTGTTTGAGGATACGTATCCTAACCGTTAATGTTTTATCTAGAATTATAAATATAGGCAAAAAACAACAGGTGTAGTATTTAAGCTTATACATTAAATGGACCTATAATTTCGGAGGCTCTCAGATAGGAACACAGGCATATAGCCTACTATCCTAAATAAATTGTAAACTGTAAACTGTGAAAGGGACTTCTATACAGAACCCCAATGAGTAAAGTGCCAGTTGTAAAGCTTACTTCACAGTTAATTACCTCACTTGTCCCACTGTCATGCGCTTCAGATTTCACGGAACGAACATGTAGGCAGTTGTTGATGTACAGAGCAACCCCGCCCCTCTACGACCCTTAACCCTGTCGCTTTGCAAGCAACTGAATCCGCATAGCTCAGGTGTGTCATCTATTCCAGAAACCAGCCATGCTTCAGTAATGGCCACAATACTTGGGCTAAGGTCTTCCACTAACATACCTAGCTCATGAAATTTGTTCCCGATACTACGTATATTAGTGTACACTACCTTCAGGCTTCCTATGCGGTCCGGCTTATCCACACAGGTCTTGGAAGCATACGTTTCCAAGACCTGACTATTTGAAAACCCACCAGTTTAAGGTTAGTCTCACCATTTTTACGTCTTGTTTGTAGCTTGGACAAAACTTCTTTTCGTTTAAGTCTGTCTTCAAGAGATAAATCAGGTCTGACTGAAATTCCTGACCCGGCAAGGTTGTGTACATTAGCCAGTAGATGATTCCGTTTATCAGGAAAACCTAAGACTACTTTAAGCAATCTACGCTGATTAAAACATTCATCATCTCTTTTGCCTATTCCAATCAGCTTTTTAATCGATACTCCAGGGAAATTCGCTGGGAGCATCTTCCTTATAATACTACTCACTAATTTAAGGTCGTGATCGTGCCTTTTCACGGGATCAGATTCTTTGAACTCTTCTAAATTTCCAACAGTTATGTTAGAGTCTAAGGAGAGCTTGTCATATTCAGCAATGGCTACGTCTTTTCTCACCACTATTGATGCAGCCTGGCTACAGGCGACAGACGTTTGCCCACCATCAATATTACTATGTTTCTTCCGATTGCTTATTTTCGTTACCCACTGATCATCTGTCTGCATTTGCTTCTCAGGGCTGCTGCAGTTTTTGATGGTACAATCGAGATCAGTGTCTGCGCCACCTTCATGGTGAACTTCGCTTACAGTGTTCTCTGGTGCTGAGATGCTGTTTGCAGCTTCCGTTTTGTTACCTTTTCGCTTACTAAGACGCTTCGAACGCCTAGTAGGTTTTACTTCCGGGGTAGCTGGGATAGTAACCACCGGTGTGGTACCATTCGTGATGGCACTTGCTGCGTCGTCTTCAGACGGGCAGTCTGTGTCACTATTACTAGCCACACTATCATCAGGAAGTTCCATAGCCTTAGACAGTAGTTCGTGAGCCTCCCTTATCAAAGTCATCTTTGGGGAGCAACACATTCTGCACATTCAGTGGAATGTTGGAGCACTACAACGTTTGTATGCAGCTGGACGTAATCCAGTACACATCTCATGATACCACTTTTTAGTTATTACACTGTATTCCATCATCTATCAAAAAGTAACACTCCACCCTATTACATTTATGTGGTACTTTTGACATAATGAACTACTGGAACAGACAATTTACCCAATATAGACTATATAAGCGTTTAAAATCAAAACTTAACAGACAAAAGTCAAGTTAGAGTTTTAAAAAAATGTTCTTGAAGTGAATGACACGACAAAAACAGCGATTTGTCAAATACGTGAAAAAAGCACTCCCTTTTTCAAACAGCGCGCGGTCTATACCTGCATGACTTATTTTGTGTAGGAGGAGGTCATAGTGAACTGTGTCAAATGTCTTCTCAAAGTCTGGGGAAACCACATGGATTGGAACATTTTGTATGAATTGGTTCGCAGTCATTCTGGTTCCAGACCGAAAAGAATCAAAAATCCACCGGTTGCTGAATTATTAATACTTCCCTGAATGTTCTACCGGATAATAACTGTTGTTGTAAGCCTTTTGCAGATTATATTGCCGAAAACATCATTTACGGTAAACTAACTAACGCTTTATGACCCATTTCTATACTTTTGTGAGTAGCCCACGATATCGACCAAATGTAACGCAACGCTCAGTTGTTAGGCGCTTTTTCGACAAATTCAAACAATTATGGTGCCTAGGATTATTTCATACAAATTGTTTTAACTTATGCAAAGTGTGCTTACTGCCATTATTCCATTACCCTCCCTTGTACATACATATATATATCTTGTGTCAGTGAAAAATTTTAAACATGCTTACTCCATGTATACACTATTAACTTGTTAACTGGAGTCCCTCATGTGCATAAAGTGAGAATAAATTATTATAAGACGCATTTCACCGTTATATGAGGGAAATGACTTCAAGCTTTATGTTTTCCCAAGTATCTGTAATCCATCCAAAACACACTTGGCCTTTTTTGTTAATGCGAAGACAATATTTCTGTATTTCTTGATGTGCTCCATTGAATGACTAGTTATCACATTGTTCTCACTAACCAAAGTCAAAAATGACGGTAACCATGTAATTTAAATATATAATTTAAATAATACTTATCCATGCCTACACAACTGGTGTGTCCGACATAGGTAGGAATAAATATGTACCTTATTATATTATTACTATTTATGCTTACAAATCGTATGTATAATTTATCGGATTGGTGATGCCTGTAAACTGGCATCCCTCATGTATAAAAATGAGAATTTATTATTATTAAATGTATGACAAAGAATTCCACGACAATAGTTCTGCGGAAAGAGGGTGGTCCGTCGAAGATAATAAGGCGGACCGTGAAGCAGTGAACAAGTTTAGTGATAAGATTAATGTGAATTCAGCGTCATCAAGTTCTGACTCCGAATCGTGTGACGAGGATGTTGCGGTGAAGAAGCCTGTAGCTGCAACTGATAAGCCATTGTTGAATAGCGTGTTACAGACGATACCGCAGTTTGTGCAGAAGAAAAGGGTTACAGTTTCAGAGTCCAGTTCTGACTCCACAAGTTTACAAAGTATTACTAGTCAGAGTAAATGTATGAAATCTTTATGGATTCATAAGGAAGAACCTAAGTCATCTACTTCTCTTAATAAAGAGGTTGAAAATGATGAAGTCGACTGTCAAGGAACTTAGCCCTAAGTTCCTATTGTAATGAAGACTTAAGCGATTCAACCGATAAACACTAAGTATTTCCTTCAACTTTAAATCCAAAACACCAATATTCCTCGAGCGAAATTATATTGTTTGGCAATTAAATTGAAGAAAACTACAAAGTCTGCAAACAAATGTTAAGTACAAATGAAGTTATAAAGTACTTTTATTCGTATTGAAATCCAGTCTTCCTCCAACTTGCAAGCGATCGTTCCATTCGCGCCTTGAATTGCCTGCCAATGGCTGCCAGACCCAGTAAAACAAACGTTCAATGTTCACGTCCATTGACACTCCCCGGCAAAAAAGGGTCCATCCCTTTTTTCCACAGCGGCGGTAACCTTGAACTGAACTGCCAATGCGGGAACCTGGGCCAATCGGGACTAGGCTAAAATTGGAAAAGCAAGACAAAAAAGCCCAACACACAGCAAACATACCACATCACACCTACACGCTTTCCCCGGCGCATGGGGTCTACGCTCTCTGACGACGATACCACCACTAATCTCTTTCACAAAGTATCGATTGCTTCATTCCACTCTAGCCCAATCCTCTCCCCGGCGTATCCAATCGCGTACGCTGACTCTAACATTACACGATTCACTCACAAGTTTAGAAGCGAATTCAGACGTGCTTACAAAACATTACAAGATGATTCACACAATGCGACAACTATAAGATTAACCGACAATCAGATGAATCGAAACCCACTTAATTACTCAACACAAACATATGTACAATCAATACATCAAATATCGCGGATTCTGCCTTGACGAGCTACCCTTGAAGAACTGTAGGACTTACAGCAGTACGCCTACATTTCTTCTCAGGTTGACGATCCAAGTGGAAGACGTCCGGATACAAACAAAATTAATCAACAGGTAGAAGAGGGATGATACCAATTCATTATATACAACATGAACATATGTACAAAATAATACACCAAGTACGATGGACTGCTCTTCGACGTACTACCCTTGAAGAATTGTAGGACTTACAGCAGTACGCCTACAACCCTTCTCAGGTTTACGCCCTTAAGTTGGAAAATCGTCGTTGAGCTCATTTGCTGACCTCCTTCCATCATCTATATCCTCGACTCTGAATGGTAACACGCCCATGACATTGTATCGTGGAAGGTAGATGACTAACAAACATACGACGTATCTGACCAACCAAGCGAATGTACACAGTAATTTGCACCAAAGATAATAACATTCAAATAGTAGTTTGAAACATGAAATGCCTTTATTCGTGCAAGTCAGTCTAACAGTTACCACCCTGTACACAGTTGGCTTATCGTCACTAAACTGGCCATTGACTTTCGTCCCTTCGAACGGGCCGACACTAGCATAATCAATGCATAAGACACGTTGATTCATGGACGGCTCTTTTACTGCATATGACAACACCAACGACGACTGGCTGACACCAGTTGAAGAACCTAGCGGTGTATTAGAAGCTGTTGTTGTTAGACCTTTAGGAGGTTGTCTAACCACAGGATTACCACCACTGCTATCTTTTATTATTGGCTCCAGTTCAGTTTTAACATCTGTCGATAGTTGGGCTACACTCGGATCACTTAAACTGACGGCCTCACGAGTATCCATATATGCAGCAACCGCATCTGCCTTTAATTCTACTTTACGTTCAAGTTGTACAGAACCTTTAGTCAACTCAGTAGTAGAAGGCATTCCGCTAATCTCATCATGATCAGCCACAGATAAATGTGAACTACCGTGACCATTGTCACAAATACCCACTTTACCGCCGTCTGTATGATCGACTTCATCATTTTCACACTCTTTAATAACAGCCGTAGATGACTCAGGTTCTTCCTCATGAATCCTTAAAGGTTTTATTCCTTTACTCTGACTAGTAATACCTTGTAAACTTGTGGAGTCAGAACTGGACACTGAAACTGTAACCCTCTTCTTATGCACAAACTGCGGTGTCGTCTGAGACACTCTTTTCAACAATGGATTATCAGTTACGACTACAGGTTTCTTCACCGCACCATTATCGTCACACGATTCGGAGTCAGAACACGATGACGCTGACTTCACATTTAGCTTGCAACTAAACTTGCTCGTTGCTTCACAGTTCGCCTTTGTATGCACTTCTTGCAAACGAACGAAGCACAACCGTGTTTGTCTTGCAGCTTGTAACTTATCCGTTGGGGATGTCTCACTAAAGCTGTCACAATCATTAGGTTTACTAGACACCATACAGCTTTCTCGATATCCACTACGCTGAGACCCTTTCGTCATAAATGATTGCATTTCACTCTCTGATTTCTCTATTCCAGGGGAGGGATGCAGTATACTAGCAAACTTGCTCAAAGCTTGGTTGACACTGTCTTTCAACAGGCTCACAATGTCATCCAACCTGGGCTCTAAACCTTCCTCCTCTAGACGTGAACAAACCTTTATGAACTTCCTTTGTAGACGAACAGGTAATCTCTTGGCAACAGTTTCAAGCACGGAACTTGAGTTCAATTCATCTACGCAGTTGAAAGACATGAGTGTATTTCTATATACCATCAAATTATCCAAGAACTCTGCAAGTTCCTCTGCATTATCGTTTAACTGTGATCCGTTACCTTTCACTGTCTCGAAAATACTACGGGATATCATATATGGTTTTCCAAACCTTTGACGTAGTATCTTCATGGCCTCAGTATATCCTTCGTTCGGGGGCATAAACTTGCAGCACTGTATGGCTCTTGCAGCTACACCAGTGCAATATCTCAACAAATACATTAACTTCATTTCATCATTCAATACAAAACCACTCAGCATGACCTCAAACTCTTTGATGAACTGTGGGTAGTCGGCTGGGTTTCCATCGAAGTATCTCGGTTCAAACTTAGGCAATCTTAAACCCTTACTGTCACTTAACGGTGAGGCGTGAACATCAAACTTAACATGCTGAGCATCATACATATCATTACAATTAACAGGCAACTCATCGTGACTTACTTTTTTGTCTGCTTCCATTGTGCCATGTCCCTTTCTTGACCCAGGCATTATCAAACGTCACCAAAGAATCCAAATTGCGTTGATAATCCTTGTCCAAAGAGAAGCTGGCTGCAGATCTAGTAAGTACACCCAGACGATTTCCAGAAGGCGCCCACGAAGAATGAAAACTGTTCCCGAAGACGAACAAACGAATAAAAACTGTCAAGGAACTTAGCCCTAAGTTCCTATTGTAATGAAGACTTAAGCGATTCAACCGATAAACACTAAGTATTTCCTTCAACTTTAAATCCAAAACACCAATATTCCTCGAGCGAAATTATATTGTTTGGCAATTAAATTGAAGAAAACTACAAAGTCTGCAAACAAATGTTAAGTACAAATGAAGTTATAAAGTACTTTTATTCGTATTGAAATCCAGTCTTCCTCCAACTTGCAAGCGATCGTTCCATTCGCGCCTTGAATTGCCTGCCAATGGCTGCCAGACCCAGTAAAACAAACGTTCAATGTTCACGTCCATTGACATCGACCATATAAATAGCGGTAAAGTGAATATTTGTGATAATGACCATGATAGTTCACATTTGCCTTTGGCTGATCATGATGAGACGAGCGGAATGCCTACTACTACGGAGCCGAACAAAGATTCTGTACAACTCGAACGTGAAGTAGAATTAAAGGCAGATGCGGTTGCAGAAAGTGTGTAAATGATCCTCGTGTAGTCCACTTATCTACAGATGTTAATGCTAAACTGGAGCTAATCATAAAAGGTAGTAGTGGTGGTAATCCTGCGGGTAATCAGCCTTCTAAAGGTCGAAAACAACAGCTTCTAATGCATCGCTAAGTTCATCAACTTGTATCAGTCAGTCATTGTTGGTGTTGTCATCCACAGTAAAAGGGACATCCATGAACCGACGTGTTTTATGTTGTAGTTATGCTAGTATTGGTCTTTTCAAAAGGACGAAAGACAATAGCCAGTTTAGTGATGATAAGCCAACTGTGTACGAGAGGGTAATTGTCAAACTGACTTGCACGAATAAAAGCCTTTCAGGTTTCAAGTTACTATTTGAATGCTATTATATTTGGTGTAAATTACTATGTGCCTTCGCTTGGTTGGTTAGATACGTCGTATGTTTGTTAATCATCTATATTCCACGATACAGTGTCATAGGCGTATCGCCATTCAGACTTTAGAATATAGATGATAGGAGGAGGTCAGCGAATGAACTCCGCGACGATTTTTCAACCTAAGGCGTCAACATGAGAAGGGTTGTAGGCGTACTGCTGTAAGTCGGTGGCACAGTAGTTAGGACTCTCGCCGACCATGCACATGGTCCGGGGTTCGATCCCCTGCCAACGCACACCCAATATCCATGGTCGACCTGGAAAATTTGGGCTACCGATATCCATGCTGAAAATTCCATACTTGTACTGAAAATGCGATGTGGTATCAAGCTGTAATCAAAATAAATAGATAAAAGTCCTACAATTCTTCGGGGATAGTACGTCGAAGCGCAATCCATCGTACTTGGTGTGTTGTTTTGCACATATGTTCATGTTGTATATATTGATTTGGCACCACCTTTCATCTATCTGTTGGTTACATTTGTTTGTGACGGACCTCTTTCCATTTGGATCGCCAACCTGAGAAGGAATGTAGGCGTATTGCTGTAAAACCTACAATTCTTCAAGAGTAGATCGTCAAAGCAGAGTCCACAACATTTCACGTATTGATCGTACATATATATGTGTTAAGTAATTGAGTGGGTTCAAATTCATCTAATTGTCGTTTAATTTTATACCTGTCGCATTGTGCCAATAATCTTGTAATGTTTTTGTAAGTACTTCTAAATTCGCTTCTAAACTTGTGAACGAATCGAGTGGTGTTAGAGTCAGTGTACGCGATTTGACACACCCGGGGAGGGAGAGAGTGTCAGGGTGATATGAAGCGACCAACACCCTGAGGACCAGACCAGTGGTGGTGCCGTCGACATAGGGCGAATGGAGTTCCGATCACTGAGGAAGAGCCTACTCTCCAGGGAGGCGCACTGAAGTGATGTGGTATGCTTGTTTGTGTGTTGGGCTTTTTCCATTTTAGCCTAGTCCCGGTTGGCCCAGGTTCTCGTGTTGGCAGTTCAGTTGAGGGTTATCGCAATGATGGAAAAAAGGGATGGGCTCTTTTTGCCGGGGAGTGTAAATGAATGTGAACATTGAACGTTGGTCCATTGGCCTTGGTCGCCATTGGCGGGCAACTTAAAGGCGGTTCAAAAGTGTACAAGTTGGAGGAAACTGAAGGAATACGAATAAAAATACAGTACATTCCTTGTAAATCATTTGTATATAGACTTTTGCACGATAAAGATTTTAACTGCTGAACAATACAAGTTTTTATTGATCCTTGTGTTTTGGAGTTGAGGTCGATAATCGTACCTAGTAATTATCGATTCGGAGCGTCCCCGCAAATAATAGGAACTTAGGGTTAAGTGACTTGACACCCTTTATGTCATAAAAAGCATATCATAAGTACGGTCAGCCGTGCCTCATCGTTAAACCTAACAACTTTGATCCACACCGACTTTGTATCACAAAGGCAGCATTTGATGTAATGCTGGAGGCAGGCATTATTAGACTATCCAATGGTTGTTAGTCTCCACTACTCCAAGTAGTTCCCAAAACATCTGATGGAATGCGGCCGTGCGGTAATTACCGAATCTTAAACAAGCAACGATTATCCGATAGAAACCCACAATCATATTTTCTCTAAAATTGGTGCTGCAAGAGATTTCCACTGTAGCGACAGAAGAAAATAGGATTGGTTGTGGAAGGTTTATTCGGAATTCGATGTCTCTATGTGGGAAAATTACGTATACTTTATCTTCAAATCGTCGCTTGCATAGATCTTCCGTGTTGTGTTATTTCTACCCTTCCTTATTATGTTTCTCTGTGTTCCTTTTGTGTAGTATGTTTCGCCGCAACGCTGGTTCAATTGCTCCGTTTGCCTTCAAGTATATCATTCTTCTGTCTGATATTTTTGTGTTGGTGAACGTCTCTCCGTACACTACTGATAAGTCTTATCAGTAGCACACGCCACACTCGTCCCCCCATCGTATAGTTTCATACGAAGCCATTCCGTCCTTCTAGGTTCTACCCTTTCATGTTTCACCGGCTTCCTCATCCCTTTGTATATATTTGTGTAGTTGGCCAACGTTAACCCGTTTCTCTTTATTCCCTATTTTGATGGTATAAACAAGACCAGGTCTCTCGGTCACAGTGTATCGCCTTTCCCACTTCGGAAGAGGTTTCCGTGAGTCTGGCGTGCGTTCATCCGTGTACTTCCTTTCTCTTCACAGTTTACTTGGTCGCTGAGTTCACAGGCTATGCATTCCATCTTTTGTCTCTGCTCAGATTTCACGGTGTCTTCCTTCTGTTTATGCTTAATATTCTTGACGGCTTCTTCTCGTTCCGGCCCCGTCACATTCCATTTCTGGTGGGTGGGGGCAGGTTTTGCCTTGTATTGTTAGTCGTGGTCTCCTCCCAAACATCAGCTGAAATGGTGACTTCCTTGTTGTTTCCTGTTTGGAAGCACAATGCGCTACTGGAATCACTGGAAGCTTCGTCCTTCAGTTACCTCCCTTCGAGGCCTACCACTGCTTCAGTGTATGGTTATTTCTTTCCATCGAAACATTAGTTTGTGAATAGGTTGTTGTTCTGATCTTCTTGACACCTAGTTGTTGCAGACATGAAGTAAATTATTTACTTTGAAAACTAGGACCCTGATCTGTCAGCATCATATTTGGCACACCATAAAAGCCTGTAGAGTAAGGGGGCAATCTCGTTGACTTCTCTAGCAAACCGACTACAGAAGGCCGCTCTCCCAAAGAACGGTCGTAGTGTCATATTGGAACTCAGGGGCTTTATGGTCCTTATCGTAAAGATTTTCTCCGTAACGATTTTGCCTCACCCTTGCCTACTTAAACGCCCAAGAGTGTAACCGCCCATTTAGCTATCTAATACCTTGTTTGTTTTGCTGTTAGCCCGGACTTCTTGATGAGTTTAAAACGGGTTCGAAATGGTTCGTCTTCGGTTGCCTGGATGCAGATGGTGCGACCAATAATCCAAATGACATGCGTTTAAACCAATACTGTTTCTAAACCTTAGTGAACTCCATTTAATCTCTGTCCCTTTGTCTCCTTGGCATTGCCAATAACCTGACAGAAGGCTGACTACCGTAAAAGAATTTGCGCTTTGTGACGACCTAAGGTTTCTACAGTTATTATGGCATCATGTCTCAGTCTATATACATTGCTTAGCTCTCGGAAGTCAACGCAGAATCTGTACTACTCATTCGAATTTGTCTACTAACGACGCTTAGCCTTTTCAATGATGTCATCTTTTAACATCTCCTTACCAGTCGCTCCACTTTTCTTCTAAATCACACGGGACTTTTCGTGCTGCGAATGGCGTCATTTTCTGACCCATTACTGAGATTTCATGCCTTGTCCTACTATGACAACCGTAAGGGCCCATCTCTCCAGTGAATAGATAGTCAAAATCTTCAACTAACACTGCCACATTATTTACTTTCGATACTTTGATCCTAGCTATCCCGCTTGTCTCATATATGTTGATAGGCCTGTACTTCGTGACCACGTCCCTCTTCGTGGTAATTACCACACCAGCCTCTCGCAGAAAATCAGACCAAAGCATTGTTCTCCATAACTTGGGCACAACATTGAATGGAAAGCTGACTTTACGATCGCCAATAAGAACGCTAAAGTTCGACATGCTTGTGATGCTTAACATCCGCCCATCTACTGTTTAAACTGTTAATGAATACAATCGGACGCTGTGACATGGATTATTACCTAGTAGTGAGACGGACGCTCCTGTACCTATTAAACGTACTACCTCTTGGCCATCCACTTGCGGCTCAGAATACATGGCTCCCTCTCAATTTCCTCAACTCCTTCTAGTGTTATGGGAGAGTATTGTGTGAATGAAATACTATTACTAACACACATTATTTTATCTGAAAATCTTTCTCCTCCTTCTTTCTAGTCAGTGACTCCTTTAGTGCCGTCATTTGCCACATTCAAAACACTGGTCTTTCCTGGTACTCGTTCGTAGTGCCACTACTTCACGCTGCAAATCCTGAATTTTCTCTTCCCATTCGTCTGATTTCGGTGCCTTTCAGCGGCTGCAGTTGTGCTGTTTGATCACCAATATCCATGAGTTTTGCGGCGATAACCAGTTGTGGTTGCTGAGAAATGTAGTCTGGAACACTTTCAATGAACTGTGACTATTCATCTAATGTAGGAAGCGCACGATGACCTAGATTCTTCAGCCTAACTGCCAATATGAATGGGTCTATGTCCGAACTCATATTCATGGCAAACAACTGTCTCACTGCTGACTGCCCGGCAGGATGTCAAACTTCTCCATCAATCGTTTAACCAGTACCTTCT